CCCTTCCTCTCTGTAAAAAATCAATAAAATATATTTTTTAAAAAAGATAAGGTACTGGAGAGCAACCGACACCTCAGACCCAGAGCCTGATGCCACATGCTGAGGACGGTGGAACTTCCCCACTAGCCCGGGTCCCCAATAACATCACTGAGCACAGGACTCCCTGCACACCCTGGATTGTTATGGGGAGCTCACAAATTCTCTTCTTCAAAGCACTACACCCTTAGCAACACATAACTTTATTATGAATGTTTCACATGCAAAAAATAATTTTTGCATCTTAGATTTTCTCTCCTCAAACAATACCTGCTAGAGTTTTATTTATTCTTTTTTAATGCTGTCAATTATTTCTTAATGAGAAAAAAACAAAATATGTTCAACCATTCCCCTTAATAATTATTCACTTTATATTCAGCGCTTTTCCACCACAAATGAAGCCACACAAAAAATATTGTCAGAATGCATCCTGCACACTAGGCTTTGATTTCTACAGGATGGATTCTCAGAAGACCTGCAGATGAGTCAATGGTGGATATACCGTCAGAGTTTGCCCTCTATTAAAGATAGATTCACATTTCTACCAGAAGAGGACGAAGACCCAGTTTTATTTTCTCCGGGTAAATGACAGGTTATACCAGCATCATTTATAGTCTTTTCTCAATGTATTGATAATAAACTTTGTTATTAAAATATTTCTTTAATATTGATTCTTGGGCTGGGCAGGGAAACACAAAAAGAAAACAGAACCTGCTCTGCCGAAAGTATTTAAAGTAAGAAAGTGTTCAAGATCCGGTAGGGACGTGTCAAAAAGATACAGGAATAAGCTTGAATGAGCAACGAAGAGCCAAATTTGGAGCAATTTGAACATCCAAATGAAAAAATAACAGGAATGAATTATAACATTGAATACAAAAGATGAGTACTAATGCTAAAAGACAGTAATAATTGATTTAGGCAAGACTCATCAATAACTGCTAAAAACCACTGAGTATTGGGGAACGGGATAGGCACACAGTCTCAATGTACCAGCTCATTAAAAAGTAGGAGGGGGAACCTTTAAAATGGAGCAATCTAGTGGAGAGCACACCATTTAAATCAAGCAAAGTCAGGAGCACCAATAACGTGACCAACTGAGATCATGTGGTCCCTACTGTGACACTGAGGACACTTCACTCATGCAAAAAATATTAACCGCAAAAAAGTAAGCATTTTTGTTATTCAGATTTTGCACAATATAAAACTTGCGTTCCCAAGTCTTGAGCTACAGTCAACCTATGTTTACCAACCTATGTTTGTATTTTAAAACATCTGTAATGTTCTCAGGATATTTAATCAGACATCTATTGAAACTATGATTTACGTTAAATTCTTCAAATTAGTTTATATAGAAAAAGGTGAATAAATAATGAAGGCGGAAAAACACTATATGACATTAATTCAATAAACATATACAGGCTACTTTTCTCTGTGCTATACTATTTGACAGGTGCTAGGCAAACAAGGATAAATCTGGCAAAGTAAATGCCACCTTTATTCTTTTCATAAAACTTTCTAATCATAATAAATCCAATGAAAAAAACAGTATTAACCTAAATTCTGGTTTTAAAGGACTATGCAAAGGTGGATCTAAATTAGTTAGAATCCTCATTTAACTATATTAATCAATATAATAGAAATACTGTAATAGAAAATAAGTGTTATATTAACTGATTCATTACAGAAGTAGAAAATATAGTGATTAAAAACAGGGGATTTAGAATCAGACTGGCTGTTTGCATCCTGAGCCCACTGTAATTTTACAGTTCCTCTATGTGTAAAATGGAGCTGATAATATGATGTTATGAAGATTAAATATGTCAGTGCACACAAAGATCTTAGCATACTTAGTGGCAATCACACAAACACACATATGAATGTTCATAGCAGCATTATCTGTAATAGTAAAAAACTGGAAATGCGCTAAATGTTCATCAATGAATGAATGGACAGAGACCATGTGGTACATCTACCACGATGAAATACAGCTCAGTAATAAAAAGGAACAAACTACTGCCCTAGCCGGTTTGGCTCTGTGGATAGAGCATCGACCTGCGAACCAAAGGATCCCAAGTTCAATTCCGGTCAAGAGCATGTACCTTGGTTGCAAGCTCCTCCCTGGCCTGGGCCCTGGTCAGGGCTTGTGCAGAAGGCAACCAATCGATGTGTTTTTCTCACATCTATGTTTCTCCCTGTCTTTCCCTCTCTTTTCCACTCTCTCTAAAAATCAATGGAAAAATATCCTCAGATGAGGATTAAAAACAAAACAAAACAAAGGGAACAAAGTACTGACACATCGACATCAAGAAATAAACCTGCTAAGAGAAAGAAACCAGACAAGAGACTATAGATTATATGGTTCCATTTATATGAAATATCTAGAATAGGCAGATTTATAGAAAGCAGGTTGGTGACTGCCTGAGACTGAGGGTGAGGATGAAGATTAACAGTAAGTGAGCATGAGAGATCTTATTAGGAAATGAAAATGTTCTAGAAATAAATTATGGTGATAGCTGTACCGCTCAATAAAATTACTAAAAATCAATGAATCATACACCTGAAATGAGTAAATTTTACACGTAAAATAATCTCCATAAAGTTGTTTTCAAAAAATAGTTACTACATGATCTCACTCACATGTGGAATCTAATGAACAAAACAAACTGATGAATAAAATAGATCCAGAGACGCAGAACACTGTCCAGCTTAAAAACCTCCCAGGACTCTGTATTTCCCATGAGACAATGTCCAGTCTCCTGAGCATTCAATCCTATTACCTGCCCATCTAAACACAGACCCTGAACTAGACCCTGCAGGACACTCTCTTCTGCTTTCACTCAATCACTATTCCATGGTGTTGAGACAGTTTCCTCTCAAGTCCAGCTCACCTCTTCCGTGAAGACTGCGCTAGACATCCCCACGTGCCCACTTCCCAAACGAAGTCTGAGTCACCTCCTGCTCTGTGTTCCCACGGGACTTTGCTCATGAAAGCAACAGAGCTCTCATCACATTGCAGTACACATGTACTCATGGTGTTCCCCCTCCAGTCCGTGGCTCTTTGAAAGCTCGTTTTATTCCTATTTCATCCGTAGTCCTTAGGATGGCACATAAAAAGACTTCAACAAATGTTTATGAAATAAACACATCTCATTTCGGAGTGCCTAAAATCCATCTACCCTGGATGTTCTATCAAATAATTGAGGGCAGTCGTGGTAGGAAAGTACAGATGGGTCCTACATGTTTAAGTAGAATATTCGCCAGCTCCAGTGGTTTAGGCAAGAACAGAAGAGCCACTGAGGTTATGCCCCTCTCCTCACTGCTCTGCCACAGACACAGAGCCATGATAGGATAACAGGACCACACGGAAGAAGCAACCAAGACGTGTAGGGGATGTGGAAGAAGGAGAAATAAATAGGGAAAAAGACAAATCCCAAACTGAAGCGACAAAAAGGGACGTGTCGAGGGTCACGGATTACAAACTCAGCTTGCTCATGACTACTATCATCTCTGTCACCCCTTTCACCACTCTCACTGACAGCAACCATTTGCTGATCGCTTACCTGTTGGCAGCTGGACGCTGTGCTGAAAACGACCACATATGTTCTTCAGCGTTCATGACAACCCTATCACAGAGGTATTATCCATATTCCAGAGACAATAAAGCAAACCTATAAACAATTAACTGCACTGCCCATGGTGTCATAGTTAATATGTTAAGTCATAGAGTAGGGATGTGAAAGAGGGTCAGGCTTCAAACTCTCTTTCTGCTCTGCTATCCACGTGCCAGGGGTGTAAACAAGCTGGGGCTGGCTTTACTGCTTTGCATTATTTAGTTACCTTTGTGAACACACGTCTTATTTTCGTCATCACTAGAAAGGTATCCATGAGGGCACAGTCCATGCCTAATATGCTTTGTTTCTTCCCTAGCATCTCAAAATGATCTTTCTATGTGGTGATCACTCAGTATTTGACTGGTTTCTTACTATACTTGGTTACTAGTAGAAATAAAAAGAGGTTTATCAATCTTTAGTTAGCATTAAGCCAAATACAAGAAAAAAAATGATGTAGCTCCTTTGACTCCAGTATGTGCTGGGGTAAGACTTCAAGTCATCAATTGGAATAGGCCCTGAAACACCAACCACAGCTATAAAATTAAGGATGGTTTGGTAGAATAATAAAAATGCTAAGATATATTGCTTTTTTCTTTAGATCTGGGTATGAAGATAATAATTATAAACGAGTAGTCATATAACAAGCACGTGAATAACTTACTTAAATGTGGAAATAAGTATGCTTTAATTGTTAAAACCTCTTATTTTTCTTGTAGAAACATGTGAGAGTGGACTTATGTCTTCTACATAGTTCTAAAGTCAATGTCAGTACATGAGGCAAAAATCAATTAGAGACAAAATAATCTTTGAAAAGTCGTTAAATCACCCTTCAAGCACAGTATAATACAGTACCAGCTCTCGATAAACCCATCTCGACAGTTTTTCCTCCCGGGCAGAGCAAACATCACCATTTCCTCTGCTGTGTGCCACATGGAGTATTTGGCTCATGCTTGGAGGCCACATTGAAGGAAAGCACACATTTACACACGGGCATCACAGTCAACACTCTGAGATACTTAGACTGTATCAGTCCTGGAGCAGGTACTCAGGAACCATTCCACCTGAGAGAACAGCGTATCCCCGTCTTTTGTGTCATGCTTGCTAGGCATATGTTCATTGTGGAAAAAGAGCTAGAATTACTACTGTATTTAAATTATTTAGTGTTTTGTTTTGGGTGTTTTGGTTTTCAGCTTGAGCCCAAAGATATACATTTGAATAAGTTATATTCCCAGACATGTGACTCTACTGTACCTGCTATCTCTTGTTGATTGTGCAGCCACAGATGCCTAGAATTTTAGGCACAAATTATCTAACACTATAGTGTGTCATCTAAAAAAATAAAAGTGATCTTACCTTCATCTATTGATGCTTCGCTACTGTAGCCATCATACTCTGCAGATAGAGGGCTGTATTTTTGTCTTGTTTCCCAAGTATAGTTCTTCTGTCTAGAATCAGCCAATGGGAGCCTGGAATTGTGTGTTCGGGATAAGGCCTCGTGGTATTTACCCAGTGCTTCATCTTCACTCTCAGAGGATGAACCGTGCTCATCTCTGTCCATGTAGGAATTATCTATTTGCAACAACAAGGAGAGCAAATCAAAATTTTAATGCAATAAAGGATGATGAATTTGTTATAGTTTTATATATATATATATATATATATATATATATACACACACACACACACACACACACACACATATGTATATGTATACATATACAATAAACACACATGTATATATGTCATATATATCCATATACACACAAATATATAAACACATATAAACAAATACACAATCTAAATTTTCAGCTTTAGAGAAGCATAAACTTTTCACTTAAAAAGCCCAAGACTTTTTTTTTAAAGCCTAAGATTTAGATTTTATGGAGTTTTTAAAATGTCTTTTTATTGATTTCAGAGAGGAAGGGAGAGGGAGAGAGAGATAGAAACATCAATAATGGAGAGATTCATTGATGCGCTGCCTCCTGCCGCCTCCCACTAGGAATCGAGCCCGCAACCCAGGCATGTGCTCTTGACTGGAATCAAACCCAGGACCTTTCAGTCTGCAGGCTGACACTCTATCCACTGAGCCATACTGGCTAGGGCTAGATTTTATGTTTTAATAGAAAAAGATTCATTTGTATACTTCAATTACATAAGTAACGTTAATCACAGGGATTTCCCTACAATGTTACACATAAAGAAAATAATAGGGCCCGTCATTTTACACAATTTTCCTAAAGAATCAATAGTATACAAAGGATGTTATAGGTATTGCCTAAACATATAGACATGATTCAGATAATTCATGTTACAAAAGATATTATCATCTTAGCTGAAATTTTCAAAATTGATAATTCTTATGCTAGGAATGAAACAAACGGGCAGACATATACAGGAGTGGGCAAAAGTAGGTTTATAGTTGTGTATACGTGAAACAGACATGTAAAGAAACAGAGCTTATTTATTTTTAATTCTCACCCGAAAATATGTTTTTTTATTGATTTTAGAGAGTGGAAGGGAGAGAGAGAAAGAGAGAGAGAGAGAGAGAGAGAGAGAGAGAGAGAAGCATCGATCAGTTGTCTCCTGTACACTCCCTGATGGGGTTCAAACCCGCAACCTTTTGGTGTATGGGCCAACACCCCAACCAACTGAGCCACACGGGCAGCGTATTACTTACTACTATTGTATTATTTGTATTACAACTGTAAGCCTACTTTGCCCACCCTGTATTATTAGTAAAATTATAGTTGGTAAAACTTTTCTAGAGAACAATTTGGTAACACATATTAAGCTTTTAAATCTGTATAGTATTTGATCCATTTCTAAGAATTTATCAATTCCATTTCTAAGAATTCAGCCTAAGAAAATAATTAATAGGTGACAATTCAGTGCATTGTGTTCAACAGTAAAAAACAAACAAAAATAAAATCAAACCTAAACATCCATCACTGGGCCTTAAGTAAATTATGGTCTATCGATGCAATGATATACTTGCAGTGAATGAAAATGAAGTCAACTTACAAGAACTCACAGGGAAAAAATAACTAAGGTTATAAAATAGAAGGTATATTCATGGTTTCATTTTAAATATATATATTTAAACATAAATATATATATACACACTCTCCTACATGCAGTAGATACACACATACATGCAGTATATATTTATATACACATACAAAAAAATGTGTGGAAAAATATACAAAACTTAACACTTATTGTCTGCAAATGGTGAAATTACTAGGAAAAGTTTTTCTTACATATACCTATATTTAATATAAAAATTTTAGGTGGTATAAATTCTTTTTAAAAGCACTAGGTAAAACTTTTAAAACTGCAGCATGCCAAGATGCATTTAAACGAAGATGCAACCTTCTTAGAATTATAAATCAACTCTAGAAAGATGAAGAGACCACAGAAGGTAGAATTTGTGAGATCAGTCTAGATATTTTTCTCTATATACTCAGTTGAGATGATCTGTACTAAAGAAATCAAGGTCTGAAATCCAAGTGGGGAGGCGCAGAATAAGTAATTTTACAATAGGAAAATAGGGATAGGAACTGAATGTTTAGAGTTAGAGGTAAGGAAGCTTAGGTGTCACCTGGTTTAAGTCCCGCTTTTTAATCCAATAAAATAAAATCACAAAAGGGTAAAACTATGGCCAACGTTTTTGCATTGCCCAACTTGTAGTCACTAGCCACATGCAGCTATTTAAACAATTAAAAATAAAATTTAAAATCCAGTTCACCAGTGCTACTAACCACGTTTCAATCGTTCAGTAGCCATGGGAGGCAGTGGTTCGTATACCAAGAAATATGGATAAGCAAAACTTTCCCATCCTTGCAGGCAGTTCTATTGGGCGGTGACAAGATGATGGCAGGTCTGGTCTAGAACCTAGGCATTGTGACTTCCGGTTCAGAGCTTTCAGACTTTGGGGGATATCATGGTGGTGAAGTTAAGGTACTGAGGACAACAACTAGAAATTGCACAGTCACACTGCACATGTTATAAAATATTGCCTAACGTAGCCCTGCATTCAGAGAGAGAGAAGGAAACTCTCCCTCCTCTTCTTGTGCCTGATAAGCTCTACGTCAGAACCAAGTACACAGGAACTAGTAATATCACAGTTTGGCTACATGAAGAGATAATCTATGGGTCAAATAAGTTTTATTGTTTTTTTTTTAATAAATAAAAAATAATTTTAAAAATGATTTTTAGAATATAACCTGTTTAAGTTAAGTGGTGACTGTGATCTGGAATATTTGAAAGGTATTTGGTTTCTTTAGGTACCAAAATGCTTCTTAATGAAAACAAATCAAGACAAAACTTAAAATGCTGTACTGCTACTTGTCAAGTATTTATTACTAGAGTGCACCCTACTGTTATTTTATGAACAAAATAACATGTAAACTATTCTACTTAATATGTATGTCTTTCTTTATTTCTGCTACTTCATGTAATAATACCAAGGCTACCAAAAACCTCTGAGTCTAACATTCAAAAGGCTACTAGAAGAGTAGATTCCAAAATGGACATAGAGTTGACCTTTGGTATCCACAGGGGATTGGTTCTAGAACTTTCTGCAGATACCAAAATCCAAGGATGGTCAAGTCTCTTATGTACATCCTGCCATATACTTTAAATCATACCTTAATCAATAAAGAAAAAAGGAAAAATTAAAAAATAAAGGGATAATATGCTGCAAAATAAATAAATAATCTCTAGATTACTTATCATACCCAATACAATGTAAATGCTATGTAAATACTTGATATATTGTGTTGTTTGGGGATTAATAAGAAGAAAAAAGGGTCTGTACATGTTCACTACAGATGCAACCATCACAGGCCTAACTACATAGCACACATCAGCAACAAAGTAACATTTAATATATATATATGGGTTTTTTTTCAATCTGTGGTTGGCTGAATCCACAATTATGAAATCCATAGATGTGAAAGGCTAACAGTATTTCCAAAAACTGGTGTTCCTTTTCAGTTAGCTCATTCATCCTGGATCAGCCTCTATTATATCACTTAAAAAAACATTCATATAATTGATAAATAGCAGATCCTTATTCCATATAAAGTCATGCAGAACTGAAAAAGTCTTCCTCATTTCTACTCTTACTCATATTTTGTTATTTTATGAGAATCTAAATATATTGAAAAGTTCTAGGTACATATTTTATAAATAAGAACCAGTGTACTTTTGGCCTTGTGATCAGACCAGCAATAAGTGGAAATGATTATGGTATTAACAGAAATAATTACAGGATTCTGAAGCAATTCTGCAACCAAAACCACATAACTATTGGCTAATTGTTTTGAAAATTGTTATACATATTGTGGTGGAAAACTATAAATGTTTAATTGGAATCTTAATTCTATAGAGAATTCATAAGTAATAGTAGATTGTTTATGTATTCTCACTGTATGAACATGTATGGCTAACTGAACAGACACATATCCTGAAGCATGTTACTCAAAAAAATAAAATCTATTGTTCCCAAAGGAAAATATAAAACACTTGATATAGGTACCTACTAGGATGGACTTGAAGAGCAACACTGTACAAAGGACTTTGGCATTAGTTACAAAAATTTTTAAAAAATTTAAATGCAACTAAAAATAAACTCCAACTAAAGGTTTCATACTACTTAGGAAAGCCATGGAGTTGCTGGTTGTTAAAAAAACAACAACAGACATTTAAAAAACTTAAGGTTGTTGAAAACTGGCCAAATAATGCAGGGAACGGAGGCAACACTTACTGTGTGTATTGTTCTTTGAAATGATTGAGAAAAAAAAATGAATGACTTTAAAAATGTCTCCCAGTAAGAAGAATAAAGAAAGTCTCAAAGCAGATATAGAGGCATGTGTAGGAAAGTTCAGAAATTTGGATGATATTTTCCTAATTTCAAAAATCAAGAGAAATTTTATCACTCAAACCCACAGTAGGAGACCTCACCTTTTCCTGGTATTATCTTAGAATATTTTTCATCTTTACTCTTTGCTTTTCCTTTCTTGGCAGAAACAGCTTCACGTTTCTTTGCTTTTACGTCTCCTTTCCCTTTGTAGCATTTTGTTGCATTTATATGTTCTTTGATTTTTCCATGTAATTTACCTTTAGAGCTAGTTGATGGTGCTAGGTGTCTGTCTTCTTTCATAATGGATTTCCGTATCACATGTCTATCGCTCGCCAAAATATCTTTTGGAGAGTTCTCATTTCCTGAACACTCATTTCCTTTCGACCCTTTACTTTTAATATGGTTTTCAGCTTTCTCTAAATGTTTTTCTCTCTTTTCTTGATACCTTACCTCCTTTAAATCGTTCTTACCATTACTAGAAATTCCTAATCCAATGTTTCTATACCTGTCTGTAGGTCTAAGTTCTTGGCAAAGAGATCCAGTCCTTGCATTCTGCTCAACAACGGATATCCCACCATCACTCACATGGCCTTCCACAGAATTACCAGCATTATTGGTTTCTTGACATTTTGACAGCGTCTGTTGCCTATCATTAATATGTTTAAACGGTCTTTCTTCATTTGCTCCTTGATCTTGTCTTTGTGAAACTGAAGTCGTGTAACAATTCCTTTGATTTGCTGTGGGCTCTACACTGGATGGCGTTGCCTGACAATCGGTGTTTCTGGAGACTTCTGGTGACATGGCGTCTTCTTGTTTAGAAGTATCCACAGCTTCTGCTGCTGAAGCGCTTTCCTCTTCTGGGTGAAAGCCATTCATCATGCTTGTCACCTGCTCAGTCACTGCGTCGCTCAAAGCATAGCTGACCTCCCCGACAGCCGTGGTCAGGTCTTCCACGGCGTTACTGATTGTGTCCACCAGGGAGGACACGGAGGGCAGGCTCCGCTGCAGTTTTCTGAAAAACGCCATCTTCTATCTCCTTGTCCCTACACGGTGCAATAAGGAAATTTTCTCTTCTCAAAATATCAACCACTTGGAATTTGAATTTAACATTTGCTTAAATGTTGCCATTTCTGAGCTCGATATTAGTATTTCGCATGGTGGTTTTTTAAATCGTTCTGTAAGTGCATTATGCATTGGAAGAAGCATGTCGAAGCAAAGACTCTTCCAGAAAAAAAGAAAAATCAAACCACTTGCTTTAAATATAATGATATTTTTCCCACTCCAAAGCTATCATAACAGCAGCAAGACAATTATTTTCCCCTCAAATACTATTGGTTTTTTAATTTTATACCTGTAAGAAGAAGTATAAAAAGGATTTTTACTATATTACTTTTAGTTAATTTATTAATAGTCTATGCAGAGGAACTACCCTATCTTATTAGCAAACTACCAATATCACTTCAAATTGAGAAAAATAGTAAGGGGAAAATATGTAAGCAATTGTGCGCAGAGGTCAGAATAGGGGAGGGCAGAGGGTGAACATTTTCTCAGTAGCTATGACATACAAAGCATTGTGATTTACAAATTTTACCTTATTTAATCTTACAATAACTCTAGGAGGTAAACACTATTATTCCTATTTAATAAGTGAAAGAAAAACAAGGCTCAGAAAAATTAAGATCCCTGAGAACTTTCCAATGGATTCTCAAGGTCAAAACTATTTTTATAACAACAGTAAGGAGATATTTAACCTCTCACTTTTATTCGCTCACAAAAGAACACTGGAGTCTTCAGCGACTACATGACAGACTGAATGCAGAAGCAGATGTGAGAACCCAGCTGTCCCTTTCTTCTATGCCAGTCATTAGCGATGTTCCAAAAATGTAAAACAATGTCACTCTTCTCACCAATTTTTTGTTTTAGTAAGTATAATTTTTAATTAAAATGTTATTTATATTAACATGTCATAGGCTTATTGTTGTCTTAATAAATTGATAAAAATATTTTAAACTCGCCGAAACCGGTTTGGCTCAGTAGATAGAGCGTCGGCCTGCGGACTGAAGGGTCCCAGGTTCGATTCCAGTCAAGGGCATGTACCGGGGTTGCGGGCACATCCCCAGTAGATGTGCAGGAGGCAGCGATCGATGCTTCTCTCTCATCAATGTTTCTGACTCTCTATCTCTCTCCCTTCCTCTCTGTAAAAAATCAATAAAATATATTTTTTAAAAAATAATAATAATATTTTAAACTCTCCTCAGCTTTAACTTCTAATATGATGCATATCAATAGATACAACTCATATAAACAAAAGCTCTTTGGGGTCCTCAATAATTTTTAAGAATATAAAGGGGTCATTGGACCAAATGCTGATCCAGAGAATGACTGGAGGCCTCCCAGCGATAGCTTTCGCCAGATCATTCTATACAAATGATCAAAATGCAGGGATGAATTATGAGAAACAAATCAAAACCACATAAAGTACTGTAGCTTCCTAATGCAAGTGACAGATGTAATTCAATAGCAAATAGATTTTACACACAATGAGGCTATCACTTTTGAAGTTACCAGAAGAGAAAAACCTCTCTCCAATACATGCAATAGACAAGGAAAGCAAAGTTTCTCTGTGGTAGCGCCTCGAAATTCTTCCACACTAATGCCCTGCCCTGATAATGGTTCACGTGCTCCTGCTGTCATTTATACAACCCAGTCTTCGGAAATAGCAAATAAGGGGCTCAATAACTTTTAAAAATAACTCCAAGGAAAATGTTTCCATAAGAGAAAGAACAATATTACAGCCCTCCCTCGTCTTTCCTAGTATTGAGTAACAGTAAGTGATACAATGCCTATGTTGCCAAGGAAGGAAAAGGAACACTAATTTTTCTAACCAGATTTTTATACACCAAGTTACTAAAGAAAACCTTCTCCAAGCAATCCAATTATCTATCAGCTGGGCATCCGAAAGAGTGAATACTTCCAAAAGCTTTCTAGGGACATGGGGGAAAAGCTAATTCACGAGTTATTTGGGTAAGAGATTTAAGCCAGACAAAGCAACAAAATTCTCCTTTCTTCTTCAAGCATATCTATTAATTTTATAGTCTCAAAAGTACATCTTTTATCTTAAAAATAAGTTATTTTGTAGTAGCAATTCATCTTTATGCAATATATTAGCAATTTATGGACAACAGAAAGATTACTGAACCTAATTTAGTTAATAGATCTTTTATTCTCACAGAATAGTGGTTCAAATGATAATTTATAGTATGTCAAAACCAAACTCTTTATTATGTATTTTAAAAAATAATAGGATAGTACAGATAGAAAGAACAAACAAGAGAAGCAGTGACGATACTTACAAATTTTATCTTGTGAATTCTTCCTTGTGCTGTATCCTGGACCAAGATCTGGAAACCCGCCAACATTTTCAAAACAGAACTTCTTATTAATATAGAGAAAAAGGAGCAGCATCAAGATAATAAACACCCCAACCGCTGACAAAAATCCAACTGCCTCTGGAGATACTAGAGAGAGAAAAGTCACAGCTGTCAGCATTCACTCCTCTTTAACCACAAATAAGGAAACCCCCATAGAAATGTCAGATTACTGTCTTTTTAAAATTATATTTTAAACTGTCATAGTTCACAAGAGTTTAGTTTATAAGAAAGACAAACTGCACAGTTTAACAAGTTATTCGATTCACTCAAGAAAATGTATTCAACTCTTCTAAAAGTTTCCCTATAAATGACGTTAGGACAATCTTAAAAGACAAGTCTTCAAACTTGGCGGTTTTACATTTAGTTCATTGAAGAGTATTCCAAAAATTTTAACACAAGAATTACAAAAACTATTTCCCATGCACGAGTATATTACTTAATCAAATTTGTGAGAATGTATATCATTACTCATATCTCTAAAAGCTTCAAAGGCCCTTTTTTATTAAATAAACTCTGGACTTAACCTGACATTCAAAGCCCCAGCCTCTCTTTTCAATATTTTACTCCAATCAAATGGTCCCACTAATTGTCTCAGAATCAGGTGCATGCATTACTATACACCTTGTTGTTGCTCTCTCTCTTCCCGTTGCTGTAATGAGCCAGTCTCCTCCCTACCATCTCCCCCTCTACCATGTCCCACTCATCCATTCAACCAACCAATATTTTTGGAGCAGCAGCCATACACCAAGCATTATCATATACGCAGTTTCTGTCTGCCATGAACAGTCTGATGAAAGCAGTTACAACATGGCATAATAAAGGCTATGACTTGGGGGAGGGGGCAGGGGGAGGGACTATGAGACCCATAGAAACACTTGATCCAGAGCTGAAAAATCAGGAAGCTTTTCTGAACGTTACGACTTCTATGATTATATTTTAAGAATTAGTAAGAAGTAGCTGAGTTAACACTATTCCAGGCAAAAGAAACAGCATGTGCAAAGGTGCAGAGACGGGAGATCATCGTATATTCTAGAAACTTAGTAAAACTTTGTTATGATGAACCCCCAGATTCTCAAGAAGATCTGATCTCAAAAGGACGCATGAAATCATTTTGGAGATTTTGTAGCATGAAAACAGACAAAATCTCCAACTTCTCCAATCCTCAGCAACCCCTCTTTCCTTTCAACATCTGCCTTATTTGTCACTTCACCAATCATTTGGAGTTAACAAGAACTAAATTTTTGTAGCCCCAGTGCTTTAAATATAATACTCAAGTATCAACTGAGAATAAATCCTAAGCCTCAAATACCCTCTCCAGCCTACAACCTGCCTTCTTACTCCACTGCTCAAGTAGCAGCTAAAATGTCATCTCCTCCAAGATTCTTTTCTTAATCGGAAGAGCCTTGACCATTAGCATCCAACTCACTTGTTTAAAGTGAAGTCACCAACCAGCCAGTGATGAGTGCTCTAAACTCCTAGATTTTCATTCCTTGTGAAAGCCAGACATCCAGGTGTAGAACCGATATGACACTGCACCTGTTCACAGCGGGGTCAACAGTGTTGTGACAGAGGGTGGAGCAGAGAGTGGTACTGTCAGGGAGGCACTGAGAGTGAGTGGAGGAGGGGACAGGAACGGGGGGAAGTGCTCTATGAATATCAGGCTGATGCTGAGGAACAGCTCTTGCTACTAGAACCAAGAAGACAGCTATGTCCTGCCCCTCTCTCTTTCAGGCTGAAGAATAGACAGAAAGAAAATAATAATTTAATAGAAAGATCTAAGCTAGATGAAAAAAGCAGTGGTATGCACCAAGCCGAAAGGTTGAGATAACAATGAAAACAGAAGAATCATCAGCAGGATTTCTAAAAGCCAGGAAGGTCAGAAGCAAGACAGAGTCTGGTATGAAAGGGCAAAATGCTTACTATAGTTTATGAAGAAGCAAAACACGCAATATCCTTATATTCACTATTACACCGTAAACAGCAAATATGTACAGGCGCTCCCCTCTCCCCCAGGCCCAAAACTCACTCAGAAATTTGATGCCTTAAGTGAACACACAGGGTTAGATAATATATAGTCTGAAAACCTCCCATTTCTTAGAAAACTAAATGAGAGAGGAAACATAGTTCATTTCACTTAAGAAAGCTATTGCTAACAAAAATAGCAATAAACACATACAGCATGCACTGTTGTAAACACGTTACATATATTAACTCTTTTCATCTTCACAATTATGCTATTATTATTCCCACTATAAATTGTGATACAAAGATATAAACAATGTGCCCAGCCAGTAAGTAGAAGAGTCAGAGTCTGGCCCCAGAGTCTGTTTTCAACTATTTCTCATCATTTTCCTTCTCTCCTTCCCTTCCTGCCTCAATCCTTCTTTCTGTGTTCCTCTTTCATCTCCCTCCTTCCCATATTTAAATTTAACCTAGGGGGAAAGATCAACTATAAACTAGTATGACAGAAGTACTAGAGGTATGAATATAAAGTATTACTGGAACACAAAGAAGAACTACTACTTGGGGAAGTAACGAACACTTCAGAGAGGAAATGACACTGGAGCAGGGCATGAAAAATTAACAGAGTGCTATTAAACAGTAAAAGGGCAGATGAAAGAGCGTGGTCAGAGCCATAGAGACAATGCGCGCGCGTTCTCCAAGCACTAATGGGGCGCTGACACGGCTCTCTTGGCTACCTCTGTATTTTCAAAGCACCTAGCACACTGCCACGTAGCTGACATTAAATAAACAACTACAAGTGAATGAATGTTTGTTCAGGAGAGAGAAAAATATACCGGCCGCGCTGTGACTGCAGATGAAAGCAAGTTCTGAAACGTCCAAAAACCTTCAGTATCATCCTAAATCTTTTATACTTGTTGAACTGTTTTCCTTGAAACAATTAGAAAACTGAAATGCAGTAGCAAGTGAATGGAGGTTTGGGGTTTTTTTTAATGTTTTTTTTTTTGCTTCCCCCCAAAAAAATTGGGAGAGAGAGAGATAAAATATGAGTCCTTACATCAAGGGGTAGCAGTGACACAGAGAAGTGAATCCCAGTCTTTGTTCCAGGAAACGGGTAATAACCCAACGCAAAGAGTGTGGGTGAAGGGAAGGTTAGGATAATTCTAACGTTTCCAGCTTAAGTGAATGGTAACACTATTAACCAAATGAAAAAGTATAAGGAAGGCATGTGGTTTAGGGAACGGGGCTAAAGAGGGACGGAGGAGAGAGGTAGACAATGAATTCAGTGCTTGACACGTTACATGAGAAAGGTCAGCAGAATGTTTCCGGGTGGATGCCTGGGAAAGAGAAGGAAATAGCCTAGTGCTCTGGGGAGGCTCAGGTCACGTAGAAACCATGTGGGAGTGTTCCCTTTGCTCATCCTAGTCCATGTGAAGGACTCCACTGACTCAATACAGCCCAAGGGCACACGACAGTAACAGGCTTTGTTAATGGTAAATCTCTTACTTCACACATTTTTAGATAAATACATACGGTGACACTGGACAAATTAACACAAAATCTTTTCCCACTAGGAAAAGGAGAAAGATGTCTAATGTAAATATACTACTCACACAACTCCCATTTTATCCATTGTCTGACCAAAATGTCCATTTTCTACATTCACTGAAAAATTTTATACACTTAAAATTTTAAAATGATATGGTTGTAGATAAGAAATAAATAACATATTTTCTAACAGAAAGTATTAAAAAGCTTCAGACTTCTCTTTTCATCCTTATCTCAGGATTAGAATAATATTTATTTCAAATGACATGATGCCAGAAGTTGGCCAGTTACAGTTCTGAGTGTGAAAACATTGGATAAATGCCACTTGTACATCAAACTGCAATAGAAATACACTAAAGTTAAAGACATGAATGCTATTACCCTATCAAAAAATTGAAATTTACTAACTCAGATCTCAATAATATAAAATATATTTTCACCCAGAATAAGAGGGAAATTTGCCGCCAAAATTTTATTTCTATTATGAATCTGCTTATGCAGCATAAACATTTCTAAGATTCTGGTTAATCTACCTACACATAAACCTACTTTTTTTCAAACATTCTAGATTATCCACTGCAAACAAGTAAATTATATTTTAAGATGCACACATAATACCTCTTAAGGAGGATCTTCAAAAATCTCTACCGGCACACAGCCACAACCAAGTGTATAGATATGGGCATTGAAGTTCAGAAAAAAATATAATTTTTGAGTTCTTAAAATTATTTTTCAGTGACAGAATCTTGATTTGAATGCAGGCACACTGACTTCTGAACCCTGAACGTTAGATATTAACCCCTATTGCTTCCTATTTGCCAGGCACTGTTAAACTCTGTTCCAGTTTAAGCTTTAATGCTGAAAACCATTTTATGATAGTTAAGTACCATACATTATCTTAGACTAGATCAGCAAACTGAGGCCCAGAGAGTAGTTAGCTTGTCTAAGGTCACAAATCTAGGAAATGGTAGAACCTGGATTTGAACCCAGACATTCTGCCTTCAGAGCCCATGGTCCCAAACACCAAGCAACACTGCTTCCTTATCTGCCAACCTGCAATGTAAAAAGGGAAAGCTGTGTGATCAAAGTGATATGGCTTACTGCATATATTCTGAGAACGTATTTTATGGTTTACCTTTTAAATATGTCAAAAGGTAGCAAATGATTTCAACTTTCTCAAAATAGCTATATAAGTTATAAAACTGGAATCATAATTTTTATATTCAAGATACTTTTCAAAATATTCTAAAATTAATTTTTAGCACTATGCTTAGAAACTCAATCAATGTCACGTTAATATGTAATATAGTATGTTTGAAAAGTTGATAAAAGTTTAAAAACTAAAAGTATTCTATAGAATAGTAAGCAGATGTTCATTAGTAATGCTCAACAAAAATATAGATAAGGTTTCTGTGAGCTATATGATCCTGAATATGAAGAGTAAAAAAAGTACCAGATATAATAATGTCACCAGAAAATAACAAAAAGTTTAGCTTCTCAAAGGTTAATGATTATTTATGTTCTGTATACTTACTGGCTTTAGTTGTTATCTTTACTATATATTTACAAATATATAT